ACTGTGCTTAAGTACCTAAAATTTGTGTACCTAGAATTTGTATTAATGACTGAGCCTTAGCACTGCTTTGACTGGATACAAAGGGAGTGCGTGGCTCTCACAATCAATACTGTATGAGATCAGCATGCACCTCACTTCAACTGCCCTTACTTTATATGCATGTCACTTTAGTAATACTGTGGGGAAAAAACTTCATGGACAGAAACCAGGGGAATCTGGCAACCCTGCGCATAGGCAACAATCAACAAAATGTCTTAAGGTGCACACATAGAACTCGGATGAGCAACATCTGGCCTGTGGTTCATAGGTTGCCCATGACTGCTCTAGAGCCTAGAAGTCTACTCAGTCCTACTTCTTGTTCTGCCAGTCTCTAATTCAAACAAGTTATTTACACTGATAGGAAATACATCTGCCTCATTATTTACAATGTTACCAGAAAGTGAGAACAGGCATTCTTATGGCACTTCGACTGATATTTATGATTGCATGATATTTATGGCCAGATTTATTTACATTAAACCAGGGATAGGGAACTTTTGGCCTGCAGCTTGCCTTAATCTGCCCTGCAATGCTCAGAGACCCCTCTCCCTCTGCAGTGGGGAAAGCTGATGCGCCAGTATGGGCTCCCCATTGCTAGGAAAAGACCTCTGAGCCTTGCAGGTCAGATCAAGAGAATCTACCGGCTGCATCTGGCTCATAGGCTCTACCTGGCAGAAAAGTCATCAGTTCTGTGTACTGACATTTCTCCTTTCCCTGGCTGGGGGCCGGGGAACAGCAGTGCATGGAAACTCAGGGAATCACAGCCAATGGGGACAGTGGGGGCAGGAGGGATGACACGACAGTACCTGCAGGTGTAGGGCAGCATGGAGCCCCTGTGCCCTCCCAGGAGCTATGCCAAACCCTGTCCTCTCCTGCACCCCACCTCATCCCCTTCTGGATCTCCACTCTCGCACAGATCCCACATCCACCCCTCAGCTATCTGGCAACCCTGCGCATAGGCAACAATCAACAAAATGTCTTAAGGTGCACACATAGAACTCGGATGAGCAACATCTGGCCTGTGGTTCATAGGTTGCCCATGACTGCTCTAGAGCCTAGAAGTCTACTCAGTCCTACTTCTTGTTCTGCCAGTCTCTAATTCAAACAAGTTATTTACACTGATAGGAAATACATCTGCCTCATTATTTACAATGTTACCAGAAAGTGAGAACAGGCATTCTTATGGCACTTCGACTGATATTTATGATTGCATGATATTTATGGCCAGATTTATTTACATTAAACCAGGGATAGGGAACTTTTGGCCTGCAGCTTGCCTTAATCTGCCCTGCAATGCTCAGAGACCCCTCTCCCTCTGCAGTGGGGAAAGCTGATGCGCCAGTATGGGCTCCCCATTGCTAGGAAAAGACCTCTGAGCCTTGCAGGTCAGATCAAGAGAATCTACCGGCTGCATCTGGCTCATAGGCTCTACCTGGCAGAAAAGTCATCAGTTCTGTGTACTGACATTTCTCCTTTCCCTGGCTGGGGGCCGGGGAACAGCAGTGCATGGAAACTCAGGGAATCACAGCCAATGGGGACAGTGGGGGCAGGAGGGATGACACGACAGTACCTGCAGGTGTAGGGCAGCATGGAGCCCCTGTGCCCTCCCAGGAGCTATGCCAAACCCTGTCCTCTCCTGCACCCCACCTCATCCCCTTCTAGATCTCCACTCTTGCACAGATCCCACATCCACACCCCTCAGCCCACTTCCTGGCAGCCCTTTCCCACACACTGAATCCCTAATTTTTGGCCCCACCCCAGAGCATAGGGGGCCTCATAAAATCTACTTGCTTCATCCTCCCACAGGACTGAAGTACAAAAGGAAGCCTCACACCTCAAGTTGCATAATGGGGTAAGTGTTTCTCTTTTTTCTGCTTATCAGTTAAGGGCCATGTTCATGACTGTTTTTTTCTGTGGGTCAGTGTTCACTCCTGCGCTAAACATTTGTATGCCCTTTCACGTTTCAGCCACCTTTTCAAATTATCTGCTTCCATGGTGATGCTCTTCAAAAAAAATGTAGTATTAAATTTATGATTTGACTCCTTAAGGAGAATGATGTATCTCTTGCTCTGTTTTACCAACAATCTGCCATATATTTCAAATTATATGAGTCTTGGCTAATGACCAAGCACATGTTAATTTAAGAACACTTTCACAGGAGATTTCACAAAACAAAGAAGTTTCCAATGTGAGATTTTTACAAAGAACAATAGCATTCAACCCAAGGTTTAATAATCCTTTCAAAAGTCTTGAAACAGCAACACTCATAAGAACAGCCATACTGGATAAGAATGATATTGAGTCATTTTGTGTGCTGATTCTATTGTGTAGGTAGCTAAACTGATTTGTGTGTGGATTGTGTTGCACATGGAAATTTCTGTTTCTGTGCTATTGAGAAATGAGGGGTGTCTGCCATGAGAAGCTATTCTCATGCATGGTTTTCGTGTGTGTGGGCTGCATTGTACTTGGTTTTGAAGAAAAGCAGCAGTTGGGCCAAGTAACTCAATGTCTATTTAATCTCTCTCGAGCAATGAAACTGTTGTGTAAAAATTAGCCGTAAAACCCAATGATGACTGAATCTGGTGATATTCTGAACAAAAAAAGCTCTGTGCCAAGATCATAACTATTTACATCACTTCATACTGAGTCAATGGGTATTTTACGTTTCAGAGTGACACACTCTGACAATCTTGGTATCTTATACCTGTGTATTGATACAATATTAAAAGCTGTGTAACTTGGTTCACTGTTGGCATATATTAAAGTCCTTTTAAGGAAGAGTGAGTCGTTAATGTAAGTTCCAGTGTAAAGTGTTAAAATTTCATTTGACGAGACACTGACAGTTACAAAATGCTGTATGTAAATACAGATATCTAAAAGTATCTTTTTTAAAATACCATTGATTACTACATATTTTTAAATGCTCCCTTTTCATTATTCATGCTCTGCTTATGTTTTGCATTTTCCTTACCAATGAAGTTGATCCCAATGAGTGAAATTCTTCTTTATGTAGGATGTCAGCACAAAATGTATGCATCATTTTAGTCTGAATACGTGGTTCGTAGACCTTGTGCTAGCCTTTTGCATAGGAATGAATATCACATTCAGGTTCATAGTTCACAATCATGTTTGGGTTTCAAAAAACAACCTGGGAATGACTGTTTAACAATTGTTTTCAATTACATTTTTTGAAACTGGCAGATGAGTCTATTGGCCTTATATTTTATAACAACTTGCCAGAAGCAATTAATTTTCCCATGAATATATGGAAAAAAATATGAGGAAACAAAGAAATTTTAAGATATTTGTATATGAAACTTACATTTTATTCTTAAAACTTTTTGATATTGTTTCTCATATGTTTATACTGTAAATAATGACCTTTCCTATGTGTAAACAATAAGATGAATTTAAGATTTCTGTTCTTTAGTTACAAGAATGGGAGAGAGGAAGAAAAGCTGAGTACAGGTTGCATCTCTAAAATCTGGGATTCTCTGGTCTGACAACATCCATGATCTGAGATGTACCATGGATGTTCCAGGATAAGAGTCCCAGCGTGCTGCATGGCAGTGAGGGTCTGGGAGCCAGCACATGGCTCATTTGGTCTGTGGGGGGAAGAGGGGGTGGGAGGGGAAGGAGGGGAAGAGCCCGCACGTGGCTCAGCTGAGCTACAAGGAGTGGGGCAGGAGCCAGTGCATGACTCAGTTGGGCTACGGGGGGAGGGGGACCAGGAAGGAACTGGCGCATGGCTCAGCTGGGCTGGGGAGAGGCCGAAAGTTGGTATGCGGCTCAGCTGGGCTGCGGCGGGAGCTAGGAAGCCTGTGGGGAGGAAGGCGGGGGGAGAAGCAGGGGTCCTGAAATGACCTCCCCTGGTCCAGAAAAATCCCTCATTTGCGATCAGTCAGGTCCTGAGGGTGCCAGACCAAGGATGTTCAACCTGTATTTAAAATGGTTCAAATAACATCTGTAAAATATTGAACTTTCCTGTAATTTAATGTTAAAGCCCTGTTAAAGTCTAGGAGTTCCCACATTATTCTTTAGCGTTTTTAAAACTGTTTTTAAATTGAATGGTGTGTCCTGCTAAAAATATGTAAGAAGATTCTGAGATAATCTTAATACTGAGCTCTAACATAGTCAGTCATAGCAGAAAACAGGTTTCTTCTTCCATGATAATAAAGCAAGCCTAGTAGTTCACTCGGGAGCTTATTTTGAGTTCTACTGCAAATCAGTTGGGAGTCAAAAAACCAAATTAGAAAGGACTAAAGTATGGAAATAGTACACAAGAGATTTGAGTTTTAGTACCAACTGTACCACACACTCCTTTAGGGACTTGAACTCAAGTCATTTACTCTCCGTATTCTAGTTTTCCTGTCTAAAATTGATGACAATGACTGCTTACTTAACAGGTGGTAAGGCTTAAATCACTAATGTTTATAAAGTTCTTTTAGGTTCTTGAAGAAATGCACTATAACAGGGCAAAATAATTGTACTGTAAGCCATGTCTAAAAAAAGGAAGAAGATTGAGTGACAATGATAAGGTTATCCTTTTAAAAAACCTTTTATAACTTTTGATATTGAACTTAGTTTAAAAAAATTGAAACATTTTAATTGTAAGCACAGTTACTTCTAAATCTCATATAAAATTATTAAAATGCATAACTCTCAAGAAATTGTTTACAATACAATGTGAACTGTACTGTACCTAATAGAGTTAGTAGATGAGAAATGAGGAGATAAATATTTAAAAAGACAAGAAAGCAAGAGTAATCTTAGCCCTAAAACAAGGAAAAAATTAGCAAAGAATTTAAAGTGCAGAATTATAACACAAATTAAGTCTGCTTCTGGGAACAATATTTTTGGAAAGGTAATATATTACTCTTTGATAGTACTATACAGTGATTAGTACATTTGGCAAATACATTTTCTATCAAACCACACCCCTATTTTAGTGATATACACACCTCTTTTGTGTTGCCCACACGGACCTCAACTTGTGCAGCGTTTTCCTGATAGGAGAATTAGCGAATATTGTAACTTTTGCAAGAGACATGATGCTTGCCTTATGTAAATTGCAATAAAATTTACCGACAAATGTTGTAAAATTTGACCTACTGGTTGTCACCGGTAAAATGTGGGAAGAGACCAGCCCTGGAAACATTTTATCATTGCCTTGGTAAAAAAGAGTTCCACTGAAATACCCCTGCCTACTTTGCAATCTACCAATGATCACATGAAATAATGGCCAACAAGGAGGATGACAAAAGTTACATTTCAGGATAATTATGTTAAAAAATCAGTACCAATATCTAAATGTCAAATTTCAAAGATTTAAAACAATGAAGTGGCATGATATAGTGGCTAGGGAACTATACTAAAAGTGGAAGGCTTGGTTGAGTTCAATGCTCAGCTCTGTCACTGATGTGGTGCATAATCCTGGGCAAGTCAATTTACCTCTTTGTACATCTATTTGTCCACGCTGCCCATATAGATTGTAAGCTATTTGGGATACAGTGTCTGTCTTTCGGTATGTCTACACACTACCTAGAATATTATGACCTCAATTTTGACTAGGATCCTTGGATTCTACTCTAATTAAAATAATTAATAATGTTTTAAATAAACTATTAGGAGACACTGTAGTACCACCACAGTGCTGTTAATACTCTGTTCAGTATCTTTTTCCTTTAAGCTTTAATTCCATGTTTTCTCTAGCAGTCCTCATGCCTAATCAATATGAGGTCATCATGGATTAAATTCAGTTGGTTTAATTCAGTTTACAACATAAATTATTTAAAAATTAAAAAGATGCAGGTGGCGGACAAACATCTTGAAATGTTGACGGATATTATGACTGCTCCCTCCAATGAATAGGTAATACTCATACTATTTCTAAATGGTTCATAGGTTCCAGGTATAATTGGATCCTTCATTACAGCTTCTCTGATGGCAGCCTCGTCACTATGTTATTATTATTATTTTCATGTTGGACTAAGGTAATGCGCTGAATTTAGGGTACCATTAATAACCACTGGAAACCATCAGTATAGCAAAGCTAACTATTCAGCTTTTAAGAGGGCAAAGTCAATGTGAACATTTAATATCAGTGTTCCATTCACTGACTTCCAACATTCTTTGGTGCAGTAAAAGATGCTGGTTGGTTATTTTAAAACCCTTAAGTCCTTATCTCAGAGACAGGAAAAATATATATTTTATAATTCTGATTTTTCAAAAATACCATCTTGAAGGATGCTCAATCTTGGGTCTTAAGCTTCTTAGACTAAGATTGATAGAACTCTGCTAGCTCTTAGGATTTTGACCATTAAAGGCAATAGAAGAAGGGCAGTGTGTGTTTCAGGCACTAACTGATTATGCATCAATTTTATGCAAGTCCAAATGCTGCTCTCCAAGTAGGTCTCTTAGTTCTGATAACATAAGATGAGAAGCTCTTACTAACAGTAAACCAGAACAAGGCAATTAACATATGATAAAAAGCCTCACAGAAAAATGAAAGAAAACATACAAAATTAAAGACACCTCAAGAGGTATTAGGTAAATTCTGAATAAAAGAGTGACAGAATTTTCTGAGAGAAAAAAATTGTAAGGTATATAAGTTATTCTTCTCTAAAAATATAATATATACAGGCTTCTCCCTCCTGAATAGTAAAATCTTGAGGGACGTCTTCCCCCCACCCTACACACACAAATACTACAGCTGCCACAATAAGTCCAAAGTCTATAATATGACCTGGGAAACAGGGATGTTAGATAGCAATTAACTGAATAGTCCTGTAACGGCATCAAATTTTAGCAGTTACACTACTATTCAATTGTCCCTGGGGGCAGTGCTGGCAGCCAGTGCGCTCCTGGTCTCACTCCCACACAGCCCCCTGCCATCTCATGCTGCTGCCTCTGAATCAGGTGGCAGGTGGGAACCAAGCTCCCCATGTACAGGATGGCATCCCATGGAGTCAGCATCTGGCGGGAGAGGAGAGAGTTGGTAGTTCTGCTGAGCCAGTGCTCGGGGGCACCAGCTTTTAAGCCAGCTACACCTAAGCACCGGCTTCTACTTGCCCCTTCTTGCTGCCCCTGTGGGAGGCAGAAAGGGGGGGCAGGTGGCTTTGCAGAGGCGGCACGGGAGGAATCCATCTTAAAAGCCGGCTCCCTACATATACTGGCTCCCACCTCCTCCGAATTGTTATTCCCCACTTGCTATCTGGGCATATCAGTTAATTGTGTAGTTGCCTACACATTGACATCCCTACTGGGAAAGTACAATTTTAAAAATTATATAGATGGCTCTCTCTCGATAAATCTTTAGAATCAATCACTAGTTAAGAAAGTTGATATAAAAGTTGGCTAACTAAAAATAAGAAACAGAAATATTTGGGAATGGGTGAGAAAGTTTGGCTTCATGCATTTCTGAACAAGTTCTAGAGAGGTGTGGCCAAACCTCGGCTCATGAGCTGCATGCAGCTCTAAGTGGTCAACTGCAAAGGTTGGAACTTTGCCCCCGGAGGGAGGGGTGGAAGGAAAGCCAGCACTACATATGACGGGCACTGAAGCTCAGGGCTTCACCCTGCAGAGAGGCAAACCTGTGCTCATGGCTCCAGTCCAGTGGGGGGATGCCAAGGATCAGGCCTGTGGACCAGATTTGAAGACATTCAGAAGCTGGGATCCTGTTTTGCCTTTCTTCTAAACCCATTTATGGCTCATATAATCAATGACAGCTATCTGATTCCCAACACTGTGGTTACAGAAAAATGTACTGTATAAATGGAACTACTGGCACTCCAAGAAAATCAGGTTCTAAAGATGATGCAAAAAACACTATCTACAATCAAGTTCTGGAAGTAAGTGCCAGGAATGAAGTATTGTCAACTCAAAAAGACTAGTGTGCCACTCTTTTCAATTTTTGGCACAACATACCATACTGCTGTGAATCTGAAGATTATAATATATAGCTCAGAGCAT